GTTGAGTAAAATAGTATCAGTGTCTTGTGCTCGAGCCTAGGGGCTATGCCAATGGGCTAGGCCATTGAGAACACGGATTCGAATGAACGTCTCATCTTGCCACATGCTTTTTTACTATCTCCATCAGTAACAAAATCAATCTACAAAGCAACGCTGCTTCTAAAATGGGTATAGTACTCTGAAGCATGTAAAAATGGTAATGTACTGTCAATCGTATTTTAACAGGAGCATTGTCTCTTTAAAGGTCACGGTTTTTGTTGTTGACATGAACTCTATTGGCTTCCACCTCCCTGTTCACAGAGATCGTCAATGGAGGCTGAAGTCTGTTACTCGCGCACAGTCAGTCGAGGGAGTGATAGCCCCCACTGTGCCCTTCAGCCCGTGGCGTTGCCTATGGGACTCATTGTCCCGTAACATCCCGAGTTCACAATGTCGATTAAAGCGACACCTTTGTTTAATAACGATCCATGAAATGAGTGGGACTTTATATAGTGTGACAGTCTTGTCTTTGGTAATACTGTACTCATGTTTGTTTCTGTTGCCTGGTTTTTAATTGGTAAAGCTGTGATCGTGTTTGATCCCTCCACTGGTATCCGATTAATTTCTGCATCAAGCACAATATCCCCTTTGCTGTCTTCAAGTTCCACCATGGACACGCTCCTGCTTGCCTCTCCCATCATCTCATTCCCCTCCCAATGTTCTCCTATATCGTCCCTACCATCTCGCTTTACTCCCCTTCACTCATTCTCCGCCCAGCAACCAAGGCTTCCTGTTGGAACTTCTAATCAACCTTTACTCATTCGGAGGTCACTCATTCCCTTTTCTTTTGATGCAATTATTTGGGCCTGTCACTTACCATCCACAGATTTCTCCTGTGATCATCACTGTATGTTCTCTCTTTAGAAATGTAGGCTGAATGTACACCACCTTGTTCCCAATGATGATTGTATCTCACTGATGTGCACATCACCTTGACAGAGGCTCTTTTTAAAGGCACTCTAATTGATTATTTCTCATTTCACAGCCTCCACTACACTACTCAGCAGATTATACCCCACTTTGTTCGTCAAGACTTGCTTGAGGCAAATATAAGTATGGTCCAACAACTTCTATGACTGACACGGCACGAGTAAGACTGCCTGCAGTCCAACCAAAAAGGCTGCATCATTGAAAGCTGGTTTCAAGCCTGCCCTCCACGTGTGTTAAAAGATCTTACTCACCCATGTGATGATAGTTGAGCCTCTGGGTGTCAGCATTTCTGCTCTGATATTGCAAGTGTTGGATACTAGTGATTTCTTTCATTTTTCTTAGGGTACCTCTCACTTTATACTCAAATGGCTCAATGCAGAAGGTGTAGGGTCTTTGGTTGCTGTGGCTTGCATGAGCTCTTCAAAGGGATATGACGAAGAGCGATTCTGCATTTGGGAGCATAATTACTTCTAGCATGCTAGTTTCTGCCTTCAACTGCTGAGGAGCTTGCCACTCATTTGTAATTGCGCAGGAAATATTGAAGTAGGCTCCCCTGAGCTGACTGAAGTTTGCAAAGTCATCCTTTATTTGACTGAGAGTTATTGTTCAACTGCTGCAGCTTTTCCATCAGGCCCCCTCTGTTCATGCCAGATCTGAGTTTTGCATTGCCTTCTTAGGCCCTTGTAGCAGTTTTTATGTTCTTTTTTCAATTAAACACCACGTTTAATCACTAATCCATTCATTTCCAATATTGCAACAGGTTGTTGGGCAGGTCTTGGCGGCGTTGTTTACATAATCTTGAAATTGTCCCAAACTGTTGGTTCCTCATTAGACAGGAGCGTGCATTACCACTGCCCACCTCCACATTACAAGCATCCCCACCATAAGAATTATATCCAGTATGAGCTGGAGAAGCTTTTGTTGAACTTCGAGAGTACTACTAAGAAATGGGGTTTACGTTCATCCCCACATAAAACAAAGCACCTGCCTGGGTATTCTGTGTCATCGTATTCTCCCATCCCTCCACTCCCCATGAGCAGTGGGGCAGTTTTGGACAGAGCAGAACAATTTTCCATACCTGGAAAGGGTGCATGTGACTAGCTCCAGTTTGGCAGCAGAGGTCATGCTCCGAATCGGTTGAACATACTTATCTCAGCTGTGTAACACACTGTGAATGCTGCATTGCCTGTCGCTCCATGTAAAGCTCTGGGTCTTCTCAGCCAGATATCCCCTCCCTTCTCTACATTTGAGAAATTTGGATCCCTTTTAAAGGAACGTCCACACTGGTTTTGCATATTCAAGTTGTCTACGATCCACCGTGGGCTTAACAAACTAGATTATGTGAGCAGCTTAGATCCTTGAATGATCTGGACAAATGCCCATCAGTGAGATACTAAGGCAGGTGAGGCAGCATTGGCTGGGTCATGTAGCCCAAATGCCCAGTCACTGTGTACCCAAACAGCTTCTGTTTGTCCAGATATAAGGGGCTTATCGCTATAGGCAAGAGTTTGACTGCTGTGTAACAGAAGGATGGTGGAGCTGTTTGGGCTTGCCAACAGCTCGACCAGTGGTTTCAAGATCATCGTCTCTGGAGGAGTTTTGTGAAGGATGTCCGCCTCCAGCAATAACGGAGGGCGGAGGAGTGATGCTCACAACAACGAGCGGAGTGCAGAATGAGTAAAATGCAGCAAGGTGGAACAGTAGGGAGCACAGGTGGTAGATCTGCCAGTCATCCCTGTCACTCAACCCATGACACCTTTATCTATCCTGTAACCTCCTGCCCATGAGCCTTCGACAGTCCACATGACCTCAATGTGCACTTAGCCTGGCACAAACACTTTGTTGACGTCACCAATTTTGAGTGGCGAATGGCTTTTATTGTTATTGTGTTTATGTACCCACCCCTTCATGTGCCGTACTGGCCTTCTTAGGTGCTCGCTAGCAGAACTAATCCCAATAATGTAAAAAACGATATGGGAGATTTTTCTCATTTGTATCTTGTATGTTTGTGTACATCGCCTATGTGTGTTTGTGGCGAGCCATGCTGCACAACAAACTCAGCCACAGTTATCAATAGCACGTGATATCTACACTGGTTTTGGGTCCTCTAGGTTGTGTCTGCATTAAATGAGTGCCTGGTACAATGGGTAATCAGTATAACCTATGAGACAAACGTGGCCAGGTGTGGTGCTGGCCATTTCTACCCCACTTTGCGTGCGGGTCTTCAAAGGAGCTCACTAACAGCACTTGACCCACCAGTCTGTGGAGCTACATGGGGGATGTTTGTGTTGAAGCTCGTGCTGTCGGCGTAGAAGACGCTCGACAGTTTATCCTCTGTAGGGAGCACGCGTCTGCTGTGTGTAGCGTGGAGCTGTACGATAGTGAAACGAATAGAGTTGTTGCGCCTTGGGCGTAAACATCAATGTACGTCCATTTGCCAGGTGTTATTTTTTTCATTTCCTGTGGAGATGTGTGCTGTATGAGAGAAAAAGCGACTGAGCCCACACCCTCACCCCCTTCTCCCTATTGCATTATCTCCTCGTACTATTTGACTAATCATAAAATCATACGTATATAGTGACACCCCAGGGATAAATTAATATTGCTTGTTATAGCACATTCTTGTAGAAAGAACGCTGGTTAAGTCAGACCGGCCTGTATATGTACAGTTTAGATATTTAGTTTGCAGCAATGCAATACACACAGCTCAATACACAAAGAGTTAAATGTATAAATATCTCATACTAAAGAATGGATTACTTGGGTTTACAAACATGATGTACAAAACTCGTTATAGTCTCATGCTCTGCATGCTGTTGTAAATGCACGTGGTGCATACTCACTGACCAGATGCTTCGTTATTATTGATACTAATAAAAAATGTTAAATTAAGAATTTTTTTCATTAATTTCTCACGTTAAACAAATATAGGGAGGCGTTCATCCAGCGGTAGAGAGACAATGGCTGCTGATGATGATGATGTAACGTGCCGCTCATTTTCAAGGATTCCTAAGAGACAGTGCAAGTGGAGATTCAAAGGCATAGGAAGGTGGTTGCACAGACACCTGGACCACTGCTGTCCTGTATAAGTGATTTATTTAGCATAATGAACATTATAGTAACATTGACGCTGCCTCATGTGTGTACTTTAAGTTTTGGCTTCCCCACACAAACACACTACCTCCACAAAAGGTCATGTTTACTCATTTGTGTGAAGCGTATTCAAGTTTAATTTATTAGGTATAGCCCTGTGAGCCATGCGGCTCTTAAGTCGGGTGCAACTGCAACAAACAAAATATGAATCTACATTGCAGAAAACTATTAAACCACAACCAGACCAAAATAAAGCTACAAAAACAATGTAACAGCAGTAATCATAGGAACTGTGATTTTAAAATTAACAATAAACGATATACATAACATGTACAACAAAACCTGCAGCCATAGCTGGCAGCACGACACTCCCAGTGTATGATGTGTGAGTGAGTCAGCAGCAGCGTGAGTGAGTGTATGTATGATGTGCGAGTCAACGTATGATGTGCGAGTCAGCGTATGATGATTGAGTCAGTATTAGGTTGAGTGAGTATATGATGTGTGAGTCAGCGCACAATGTGTTAGTCAGCGCATGATGAGTGAGTCAGTGTATGATGTGTGAGCAAGTCAGCGGCAGAGTGAGTGTATGATGTGCGAGTGAGCCAGCACACGATGAGTGAACCTATGTATGATGAGTGAATGGGTCAGTGGTTGTGCGAGTGTATGATGTGTGAGTGAGTAAGCGCATGATGAGCGAGTCAGTGCATGATGTGTGAGCGAGTCAGTGCATGATGTGTGAGTGAGTCAGTGCATGATGTGTGAGTGAGTCAGTGCATGGTGTGAGTGAGTCAGTGTATGATGTATGAGAAAGTCAGTGTCGGCTCCCTCTGCTCGCACTGTCGCCCCCCCCCCCCCGGCTCCCCCGGCCCCGTCGGCCCCCTGGCTCAATCGGCTCCCTCTGTCGGCTCCCCCGGCCCCCTCACAAACGGCTCCGCCAGCTGCTGCTGGGAGCGCGGTATGTGATGTCATACCACTGCTAGACAACCTCAGAGCACCCTCTACCTATACATTGAGAGCATGGGAGTGCCCACTACATAGGGACTACCCAAGATCAAACCTGGCTCCCACCCTCTAATCGTCACTCAACTAGATGTGACGCTATCCCGATCATTGCACATTACAACGCAATTTGCCTTCTGCGTGGCATCACGATGGTCGAGGCAGAGCACGTGGTGTCACGCAGCTGCTTGATCTGCTAAAACTGTGTGGCGTTTTGAATTAGGTTCACATTTTACTTTTTTTATCGTAGTGTTGTGTTGATGTGAATGTTCAAATACTTGCACTGAAGAGTGTTTTGAGATGCCTAAAGTGTTTTGATGCAATTTTATGTATTTATATATATATTCCAATAACAATTTTAAGCTTTCATTACAATTTAAATAAGTCAATGTATTCACAATCAAATACCTAAAGTCACAATTGTACCTAACCGAGACCTCTCAGATTTTAGTAGCAACATTTTATTTTTTTATAATTATTCTTCCCTGTACCTGGATAAAATTACACGACTATGCTTACAGGTGACACGTGGTTTGTTTTCATTTTCTTCAGGTGACTCGATGCATTTGTCGTGATGGCATCAAAAGATCCTGCATATGAGATCATTAAAACCAACAAAGTGAATCTGCAGAAATACCTCCAGGCGAAGTCTTCAGAAGTGCTTGACCATTCCTATCAAACAGGGATAGTCCTGGACAGTGAATACGCGTCTCTTAACAGCGAGAATGACCCCGTTGTGCAAACACGGCCTCTGGTTAACCTGGTGCTCATAAAGGGAGAACAAGTCTGCATGATATTTCTTGAAGATGTGCTCGTGCGACTGAGATCCGAGATCCCTCTCTTGGATCAGTGGATCTCACAGCATGAGCACCAGCTCAACGTGATCGGTGTCGATCTGAGCAGAACTGCGGGTAAAGCCATCCCTGGAGCAGCTTCTCGTGAGTGATGCTAAACTTCACATAGCCATTCACATGTCTCTGGCAAGTTTAGGTGAAGGAATTGCTTTGAACTGAGATTGTCATTTAATATTAGCAAACTGCACCACCCTTGCATGACAACATTCCTTTCAGAAGGAGGACATTTCTATTCCATTCCATAGCAGGGAAACTACAATTTATCAGCAATTGGGAGGAAAGGATAGATGGATAATGAAAATATGTGTAAATATCAAAAACTTACATCAACACTGGACCCCAACATTCATTAATTCGTCATATCCTACACCTCCCTGTCCTTGGAAAAGACGTAAACATGGTGATTTTCTACCTCCTCTTCAGACAGACATGGTATTTAAGCTGTAATAATGTAATGACCTATGAAGCTTTCTTTCAAGTGTCAAGCCCAAGATGTTTGGCAATGGCAGCAAACCCATCTGCTGCCATGGTCTCCATGACTTGGTACAATCTGGATTCCACCAAGGCCATGTCATTGAAACTGTTCCCCTATGCAGGGCAAATTACCATTTCTGTTAAACTATGGATGCTGCTTCTAGTTCTTGACCTTTGGGCTGCTTTTGACACCACTCCATCCTCTTGAATCTTCATGGCGATGCAAGTGTTGTCTGACAAACTTATTTCCTGGTTCTGCTTCAACCCCTGGAATTGATTAATATTTTTCCATGCAAGCACTGTCTTCTGTTCAGAAGCCCTAATTCTGTGGTGTTCCACATGGCGCAGTCCTGTGCCATCTTTTCTTCTCAGTACAATCTCCTCGTTTTGAGAAAAAAATACGTTTTTATTATCGACTATCACTGCTATTTCTAATGACACCCAGCCTTATATTGCCATTGACTCATATAACGGAACCTACTTTCCTCTTACACCCTGACTTGAATTGGTTAAAACTTCCTCCAAATAAAATGTCAATATTTAAGCCCTCATCGTTTGTAAAAAGTCCACTCTAACTCATGACTCCAAGTATTTTATCATGGAGAGATTACGGAGAGATTAAAATAACACCATCAAAGTTATGAGCCATCGAGTTAGATGTTAACTTGAAAAGCTGTGATGAAAGATGTCGAGCAAATCTGTCATTAGGGAAATCTCCACTCTCCCCAATCTAGGGGATGCCACAGTGCTTGCTGATGATGCAGTAGCCAGGTTAGTTGAAGTTCAAGTGAACCTACGATGCATCACGTGGGATGCTACGAGTTCTGTGATTTATGTGGCTGTTATTGTGGAGGTGCAAGCACAATGGCGGAGCCAGGATTTTCAGGTAGGGGGGTAACTCCTCCAGCAATAATTTTTTTTTATATAGGAGTTGTTATGACGTAAAGACTTGTCCCTTGCTTTTTATTCGACGCGTGTGCGGCGATGGCGCAGCCAACAACCGTGTGTGATCGGCATCGCGCTCGCTGAAGGTGTCCCTTCAGGGAAGTCGTGCACTGTATACGCAACTGCGTACACTTATGTGAATCACTTATAACTGCTTTGCCGTTACTTATTGCCAATTATGGACTCAGACTATTGTCCTATCATCTCATAGAGTCTCTGGCACATAGTAATATGCTACACAGTGGCGGTCGCAAAATGCTGATTTATCGATCGAAATTAAGGATTTCGATCGGATCAGGGGAGGCACGTGCCACCCCCCACAACTGGCTCCGCCAGTTAGCAAACACTGCATCTTTTCTACCTGCAGAGGACCGTGCCTGGTGTACTGCACTCCTCCACCACAGTGTAGCCCCCGTGCTACGTGATATAGGCCAGCTTGAGATGGGAGAGGAAACACAGCCCCAATACTAGTGAAATATAAAAAGTTAAATTCAACATCCTAAACAACAAAAATCAATAATTGTAGGACAAGGCAGGATTGAAATTTACACCCAAATTGATGGAATTCGTTTTTGATATTGCTGATGTACATCGTAATGCTAAATGTGGTACTATCTTTTCACAGGCAAAACAAACAAGACAAGTGTTTGGAACATTTTTGTCATGATAAAAAATATTTTACAAAGGTACAGTGTTTATAAAAATTGCATTTGTAGAATACGCATCGTGAAAACTTCCACGCAATAATTCGTGATGTACATGATGTTACTGCATTATCCATAGTGAACGAATTCGCTACGCTTTTTTTAACTACATAGTTTATTTAATCATATTTTTCTGCTATAGCAATGTTTTTTAGTATAAATGAAACTAATTTGTTAAATCATTTCTGTTGAATTTAGATAACCCTGGTGAGGATTACAGAGAATTCTTGCTGAAGCTGACATCATTAACACGAGACTACGACGCACGACCTGGAGAACCTGCAGTGTTTTTGTCAGAGAGGATGCTGAAGCCAATTCTGGTTCCCTACTACCGCCATCAAGAAACCAAGGAGCACGAGTTACTAGCGAGAGACAAACAGCACAAGGAGCCGATGGAGAGAGCACATAGAGAAGCGATGACTCACAAGAAGCTCTTTGATCCCATCAGTTCCATTGGAAAAAAAACACACCCTCGACTGGTTATTGTGGTGGGGACTCCAGGCAGCGGTAAAACCATGTTGAGCAAATTCATTGTGCACAGCCTTCTGTCAGGTGAGTGAGTGTTTGCACAATGCTTTGAGCACATCGTGCTCATCACGTTCAGGGAGATAAATGATGTTGGAGAGGTGTCACTCGCAGAGCTGTTTTCTGTGATGCACTCATGTTTGGGAAACAAAGCGGATGAGGTTTTCACAAACCAAGAGAGAACCATTTTTGTTATGGATGGGTTGGACGAGTTTGGAAAGCGCCTTCACTATGCCAATACTTGCACTGATCCACGTAAGACGGCAACAGTAGAAGCCATCATTGCTGCCCTAGTGAATGGAAATCTCTTGCCCAAGGCCTCGGTCTTGATAACGACCAGACCCATTGCCATGGAGCAGCTGAGTGAAGTGAATTTTGATCGAGCTGTTGAAATCACTGGGTTTTCCAACGACGATAAACTATCATTCTTAAACAAATTTTACCAAGACAGGAGTCTAGCAGAAACGGCACTCAAGCTCCTGCAGGAAAATGAAATGGTGAATACATTGTCCCAGAACCCTTCATTCTGCCATATAGCAGCCATTACACTGAAGGAACATTTACAAAAGTCTGATCATTCTGAGATTATCCTCAAATCAATGACTGACCTCTTCACGCAATACGTGTGTGGGCTCATAAAACACCATGGACGTGGCAGCCGCGGAACCAAGGAAGTCTCTTGCCAATATGGCTCTGAAGGGGGTTCAGCAAAACATCCAGATGTTCAGCCAAAAAGATCTAGAAGAGTGTGTTGTTAGTTCTTCTGAACTAGGAAGTACATTCATCAACAAAGTGTTCACATGTGAGGGCATTCAACAAGGGAGTTGTTATTCATTTTCACACTTGACAATGCAGGAATTTTTTGCAGCAATAGCCGTGCATCTGTCACATTCAACACGGCCAGTGAGTGACGTCATCAAGGCTATTAAGGACAGCAAAGATGGGAGGTTTGATGTGTTTCGGAGGTTTTTTTTGTGGACTAGCATCAAGCACTCCATGGAAGTTCTTTGAGGGTATCTTGGATCCTCCATCTGCTGATTCTCAAAAGGAAATAATCGAGTGGCTCAATCACAGCATGGAGACTCAGAATGTTGACAGACACAGGCTCATCAGTCTCCTGCACTGCTTGCACGAGCTGCATGACCGCAAGTCCCTGAGTGATGCCACTCGGTCCATGACTGAGATAGACCTGTCATTCACAAGGCTGTCCCTGCCAGACTGCGCTGCCATCTCCTGGATCCTGCTGCAGCGAGAAGAACCTATGGAGACACTCAACCTGTTCGGCTGTGGCATCGGCACCGAGGAAATGAAGAGGCTTCAGCGTGGACTGCACAGATGTAAACATCTAGTGTAAGACTGGCACACCTTGCATTCACTACTTCACAAATTGTGTGTGCATAATTGTGCGTGATATCAACTCAGTTTCAATTGAGCACCAGGTGCAGTGTGTAAAACATCGCTACTCGGGAGACAAAAGCAGCCGGGCGTGATACTGGCCACCCACTCCATCATATGCCATGCCGGCCTTCATAGGTGCTCCCTAACGGCACTTTCCCCAGCAGTCTGTTAAGGCTATACGGCAGATCTTTCTCTATAAGAATCCTCACTTATTAACTGTGCATACAGCACAATGTAACTCCATTCTCACGTAAACACTCGGTCTTGCGTAGCCCAAGCATGAATACAAATTTTGACAAATTATTCCCCTTGCCACTGCCATCATTGTCCTCACTCACTTCACTCCTCTCCCCGCACGCCACGCTCACCCCTCCATTGATACCTCCCATTAACCCCCCAATCTGCTCCTGCCTTCACTTTTTCCATAACCCATCCCCCACCCTTGCCCATACCTTCACTCTTCAGCTGCATACCCACTCCCACTCATCCACTGAGGGATAAGGTTCGGTGAGTGAGTGCGTGCCTGCTTGAGTTGGTGGTTGACTTGGTGGGTGGATCGATGAGTGAATATGTGGAGTTAAGTGAGGATGTGAGCGAGTTGGTGGGTCAGTGGTGTGTGAGTGGGTTGGTGAATGAGTGAATTAGTGTGTGAGTGGGTTGGTGAATGAGTGAATTAGTGTGAGTGGGTGAGTAAATGTACAGTGAGTAGGTGGGTCCACAGTGAATGCTGCACTCACTGTACATTAAAGTACAAAAGGAAAAAAAAGTTATGCATATGCATGGATGCTGTAAAGTTTTCCATCATCTTCAGCAACATTTAATTAGCGATAATGATAGCCCTCACACTATGTGCAGGAAGTGAGGTGACCGTAGGCCACACTGACCAAATGTAGCCCTGATAGCGACTCTGCGGTGGAGAGTGAGGGTAACGGTTTGATCCACGTGTCCGATTCAAGCCCCTGGTTCACAGTGAATCATGGTCAGTGATTGTGCTCACCACTACAGAGACAGCTAATTGGTAATGGGTGTTAATCTTAGTTGTAACGTATTAAAGAGACAAAGATCCCCCAAGTAGCCCATATAAACTGGTGGGGAAAGTGAAGCCAGTGACAGGGAACAAGCACACACTATTACACTGCACTTTAGAGCACAAAGACAATCTCCCCGTGGAGCCTGCACACACTTTTGAGGCAAGTGCTGATCGCACTTCCCTGACCAGCACCGTCCTTGGCTGTCTTTTTCTCCCCATTGCTGATGTTTACGCAACATACCAGGTACTCATTTAAGGCTGAGTCACCCTAGATTTTCTTTTATCACTCACCACTGATGCTGTTTACAGATATTAAACCCAGGTCGCTTAGTTCGTAATGTGATGTGCCACCAACTTTCCCACCATTCCCCTAAACACAATCAAAGACACTCGTATATACACACAGACATGTACACACACAAACGTACACATAGTGTACATATAAACTCACACACTCCTACACATGTACAAGTAAAGCCTTTGGCCACTCCACTGCTGGATAAGGCACTCCCACACCATGCAGGTCTTGTGGGTTATTTGACCATACATCACCAATCTTGTCAGTGTGGGTTGGTGTAGTGCATAGAGATGAATGTTGTTCCATTGCCATAACGCAGCTCCGCAGGCTACAACACCTGTTGTTATGCATGTTAGTCATGGGTAGAAGCACCATCCAGGCTCGTGCCTATTTAGATTTTCAGATTTATTAGATCTTACATGTACACTAATGTACACACTCTCATATATGAATATACACACACTCACTCACATGTACATATACACTAATATGCATATACACGAATACGTGCACGTTACTACACACTCACACACACTTTTACACACCCCTGTTTGAGTCTGCAGTTTTAATGTGACAGTATTTTTTTACATTAAAATGAATGCAAGCAATCTTCATATAATAAGGATTCACATTCATGAAGCGCAATTCGTCCAGTGATCTGAGTGCACCATGGACAAATTAGTTAATATACGCATGTATGTGCAGGGAGTCCCAGGTTTACGGAAATCCGAATTTACAGAAATGCTCCCATGAATCGTGTAATAAAACTCAACGTGTGGAAATGTTAGCGTTAGTTACATAAGAACAACTAGTGCAGCGCGTTGAGGTTGCGGTCGTCTCCTGCGGAGCGAGGCTTAAGCCCCGCCTCAACCAAAACGCCGCCTTCACCGAGCCCGAGCTTCACAGGATTAAGGTTTTTTTATATCATTACATAATTATTTTCCTTTTGTAGAATTACGTAATTGCTTGTTTTCTATGCTGAGAACTATATATTCCCATGTTTCTATTGCTGGTTTGAATTTCAAGTTTATTTCATGAGTTATTTACTTTAGTTCCTGTGTGTGTGTGTATGTAGGTTTGTAGACGAGGAGCGGTAGTGTCGTGATTAGCGCGACGCTGGGCTATGAACCCGGCGTCCTGGGTTCGATTCCCGCTCACGGCCAACACCGGTGCCAATTATCTGAACCGGACCTAGGCCTCCCTCTAGGTCGACTCGGCCTCAAATGAGTACCTGGTGCGGTGTGTAAACATCATCACTGGGGAGACAAAGGCGGTCGGGCGTGGTGCTGGCCACCCACCCCCTCGTGTGCCGTTCTGGCCTTCATACAGTAGGTGCACGCTAACAACACTTGCCCCTACAGTCTGTTAAGGCTACACGGGGGATCTTTGATTTTTTTTTGTAGAGGAGGTCTTGCAAAACAAGACCCTTGTAAACACAAACACGTTTCAGATTATAAAGGTACAGTGCAGTATAAATGAATGGATGATTGTGAGTAAAATATTCGCGAATGCCACAAATATCATATGCTTCTGTGTTATACATGAAACAATGAGCAGCTTTGCTCATGAACGTGTGTGCTCTGGTCACGTGCACCGCCATTGTGAGTGTCCCTCACTCACCGCGTGTTTGACTCCGCGGTTCCCGTGGGCTCAGTGAGTCAGCGCTGTCCCTTCTCCCGTCCACCCGGGTTTAGGCTGAGTCTCAACGAGATCGGAGACAGCGGACTCCAGCTCATAGCGGACGGGATGTTGGGGAGAGAAGGGAGTTTGGAGACGTTACTGTGAGTAATGTCCTGATGCACAGACACTAATATAAGCACACCTAAACAAATATATACACACATACAGACACAAAACACAAAGATACTCAGTATAGCATGATGTTGTATTTTTAACGTCGATTATAACTTTATTTTAATGCACTCATCAATTAAGTTATTAACCACCCTTATTACAGCACTTTTGACCACTATTAATTAATAATACAATTACAATTGTCACATTACCTACTCTAACCAATGATATTATTTTAAATTATATTATGTTAATACAGTAGATCATCGATTATCCGGCAGCCGGATTTTCAAAAACACCAGATAATCGCATCATTATTTAAAATGACTTATTTTTGGAAACTCTTGAATAAGATTACGTTTTAATGTGTTCTGTGTATATTTAGTGTTTTAAATAGATTGCGATATGAAAATCGCTTAAGAAAATATACAAAGACAAAATTAATATCCTGCTGTAAAAAAGTGACTATTTACTCTTCTTGGTTCTTTCGGCAAAGTCGCGTAGAAGGGAAATAATAAAATAATAAAAAATTAAACATAATAAAATAAAATTATCACGACGTTTCGGCCACAACATTTACTGTACTCCACTCACCACTCCAATATCAAAGACTCTGCATGGGGTGATGTGTGTACTATGCTATTGTTAAACAACTTGTGTTTGACAACATCTTTTGTTTGACAACAACTTGTGTTTGACAACAACAACTTGTGCTTGTCAATCGTTGGGCTGATGTAGCCTTCAAACTGGTGCTCTGGTGAATGCCGAATTGCACTAAATTTTCGCCAGATCGCACTTTATACTTTATGTCTATGACTGTAGTTATTAGTCATGAAACATATACGTGCAGTATTTTCATTGTTTAAGTTGTTGTATGTAGTGTGTAATGAACTGTATATATTATTTGACACTGAAATAAAGCATAGCTGCTCTTTGTTTTTTTCGGTAAAGTCAGGTATTAATAAGAAATAATAAAATAACATTATATCGTACGACGTTTTGGTTGCAACACAAGCAGCCATCATCAGGTACAGAAGAGCTAAATTTACGAGAGCGGGGAAACACATAGCCTCAGATGTATATTACAGACACCCAAGTAGGGGGAACTAACACAGATACAACAGGGGACACAGAGAGAGAGAATCACACCAAACAAACAGGGTTTAGCAAAATTTTGGAAACCATATGAAGCAACACAGACGGTCGGTCAAAACACAATTAACGCATAGTCCGGTTGATCACGCTATTTCAAAGATTGCTAAATTGCAAGTTAAGTATGAAACTCAAAATACAGACCGCGCGCACACACACACACACAGACATCCAAGGAGAGCGAACCAGCACAGAGACAAGCACACAGTGAAGTCGCCTTAAATAGGCAGAGAAGGTAAGGCTTAGAGACAATGGGACAAATCAGCATGAGGTATGCATGGAGCAAAGTGGGGCGCGGCAGCACCTACTCAGAAGCTACAAGACCCACACACAGGCAGAGACAGCACGGTAAAGTCACGTATTTAAACGTGACTTTACCGTGCTGTAAATCCTGCAGTCACAAAAGCTTCAAATCAAGTTTGAACCAACTCTTCGGGGAGGTATGAGGTCTGTGTCTTTGTGTTGTCTCTGCTTGTGTATCTGCCTTTGTGTCTTGGCTTGGATTTGTGTCTCTGTGCTGTCTCTGCCTGTGTGTGGGCCTTGGTGTTTCCGAGTGTGCGCTGCTGCTCCGCACTTTCCGCGCCCCCTTTGCTCCATACATACCTCATGCTAATTTGTTCCATTGTCTCTCAGCCTTACCTTCTCTGCCTATTTAAGGCAACTTCACTCTGTGCTGATCCGCTCTGCTTGGATGTCTATGTGTGTGTGTGCAGTCTGTATTTTAAAATTTCATACTTAACTTGCAATTTACCAATCTTTGAAATAGCGTAATCAACCAGACTATGCGTTAATTGTGTTTTGACCGACCGTCTGTGCTGCTTTATATGGTTTCCAAAATTTTGCTAAACCCTGTTTGTCTGGTATGCTTCTCATTCTGTGTCCCCTGTTGTATCTTTGTTAGTCCCCCCTACTTGGGTGTCTGTATATACATCTGAGGTTATGTGTTTCCCCTCTCTCATAAATTTAGCTCTTCTGTACCTGATGATGGCTGCTTGTGTTGCAACCGAAACGTCGTACGCTATTATGTTATTTTATTATTTATTTTTATTACGTGACTTTACCGAAAAAAACAAAGAGTAATTCCTGCAGTCACGAAAGCTTCAAATCAAGTCCAAAGCATAGCTGCTTGTTTTGTCACGCACTTTGTGCCGATCGCCGGCCTGGTTCATCCTTTGGAGCGGTTTTACCGGTTTCATCGGATGTTGGAACCCAGATAGGCACGCTCTGGATTTAATCAATGATCATCTGTATTTAACGTCATAGATTACAATTAAGAATTTTATATAATGAACGGCTGCAATCTTGACATTAATTGTCCACCCATACGTTTACATTAATAACACCACAACCTGACTCTTATTAAAGCTATACATCACCAATGGCTCTGATACGTCAACCCTATACATTTGAACATTATTTGATCCTTACCCAATATACAGTTTAAACCAGCCTTGGCCTCGTGATGGATAGCGTGGACATCTGTGAAAGAGAGCTTTTTAGATTTTCGGATTCTCCATTATTAATAAATATTCAGATTTAGATTCTGGCTCCTCTGCCTGTATCTAGTGGCCTTTCATGGACAAACGCGATTTTTAATACAATATTGCAGACCTCACCAAATGCGGTGGGTTACGTTCCTGTAAAATGCCGTGTTGGACAAAGCCGCATTAAACAATTCATAGACAAATAGGTTTGCATTCCTGGGTCCGAAATGATTACTCCCTCCGTCTGTTTAGCCGATTCTACGAGATTTCCACCCTCATTGTGCTAAAAGATGTTGAGTTGCTCTCCATTACTTGTGAGTGTGTATACTTTTTATTTTCCAGTTTCACCCCACTCAGTGTCTCTTTTCTCCCTGTAGTCTGGAGGGCTGCTCACTGAAGGACAAATCGATCCCAGCTCTCCATGACATTATAATCACCAACAAAGCATTGAGGGAGCTCAGGTAAGTTATGCTGCTCGTGTCTCATACGCGCTCTGATTGTTGCTACAGACAAAACAACTTTGATTCGTCATTAACACTGTTGCCTTAGAATAAAACATTAAAAAGGCAACGTTTTGGGCAATGGACCTTGATAGCATGTTTGTGTGCTATGAGAGCCATTGCCAGAAGTGTGGGGTGAGTAGTGGAGTGTATTCCAGTCCATTTAATATTCTCTGGTTATTTCGGTAAAGTCACGTAGAAAATAAAATCAAATAATAATGGAATAGACGTTTCGATTGCAACAAGCAACCGTCATCAGGTAAACCACCGCACATAACCACAGGCGTTATAGGCAGCAGAGCTAAGTTGCAGACAACAGACTGCAGTGTGCAACACAATCCACCGTTGAACTATTCTACGATCCTAGATCTGCAGTCCCTGCCATCACAGACCTGCCTTGACCCGCGTAGTGAAGTATGGTGAAGCAGCTCTCATGGCATGGGGAGACCTTCATCCAGCGTGGTTGTTGTAGGCTGCGTGGGTCTCGAACTGTGAGGCGCTGCCCGAGTCTCCGTGTGAACCCGCGTCAGCGTGAACCTCTCTCTGTGCTGCAGGGTGAACGACAATGACTTCAGTGAGGAGGGGAAGAAGGAGCTGAGGAGCAAATGGACTCCCAGAAGAAGCCTGCAGTTGTATATTTAAGCCGATAGGCGACGCTGGCCCTGCAACAGATGGAGCTGGCCCACGTGCAACTCGCACAGCAGCCCGGCGCATTTCACCTCAACAGCTCCGATCACCGGCACAGACTCTGAGCCTGACTGAGACGACAATGATCGGGGAGCTTTCTCTCTCTGTGAACCCCACACGAAGCCAAGGGTGAACGCGGCTCCGAGATTCTGATGAGCGTGGTGATTCCGATGATGTGTAACTGTATTTATGAATGTTGTGTAGGGAATCGATGTTGGGGCTCGTGGGGGAGGGGTGGCAGGGGGAATGCGGAGGGTTGCGGGGCAGGGGGTGATTTTCAATGGTCTGGCAGCTCACCTGTTACATCACGTAGCTACAAACATTTTCATAAATTTTGCATTAGTCACAATGCCATACACACCATACAAATCGTACACCTAATATGTTTTGCTCATAACTTGCCCATTGCTTTCATATTCATTCTTGTGTCAACTCACGTTAAAATATCTTCTTTGTTATTGTGTGAACTTACGTTCAAATAAACCTTTTTTTTTTATATCACCTTCCTATTATTACATTACTTATCTTCAATTACAGCTTTCGTGACTGCAGGATTTCATATTCTTTGCCGCCCGGGTAAAACTGCATGGCCGGGAGTCGAAGCCATTCCCTCTACACCTTCGGGTGCGACAGACATGTCCTCTGGCTCCCACATTAATTTACATCTATTTTTACCACGTACTTCCTGAAGCCTTCTATCTGCTACAGCTACAATTGGAGGCAGATCAATGCCCAGGTGTGGTCAAGGGATTTCTCCCTATTGCTCAACCATGTTACGTTTGCCGATCTGGTAATTGCTGCTTGCTCAGAGGAGGAGTTGGAGGTGCTGCTGCTGAACCTTGAGCTTTCCTGCTGAGAGGTGGGGCCTTAACATCAGCCCCACCAAAACTAAGCTCCTGCCTGGGTATTTTGTACCATCGGACACTCCCAATTGGTGATAGGGCAGTTGTGGAGAGAGTGGAGAGTTTCCCATACCTGGGCACTGTATTCATGAGAGGTCTCACTCCGAATCAGTTGTGTGGCATTATCTTTTCATCGCTTGCATAATGCTGTGTGGAAGCTACTTGGTCTGTCGCTCTGAACGAATTTTGAGGTCTTCTCGGCCACAGTCATTCCCTCACTTCTCTATGCTTGTGAAACGTGGAGAAGAGATGGTACAGGAGGATGAGGAGCTGAGTGGACTTGCCGATGACTGGTACCAGCGGTGTCAAGATCAGCCTCTGTGGAGGAGGCTCTTGAAGGACTCTACTGGGCAGTTGGAGGCAGTCGCCCTCCAACAACAACGGAGAGGGGGAGGAGCGACGCTCACAACAATGAGCAGAACGCCGGGTGGCTAAAGCACAGCAAGTTGGCACAGTAGGGGGCACAGGTGGTGCATCGGCCACTCATCTCAGTCATTCGACCCGTGGCACCTGGGTCTGCCCCGTGACCCCCTGCCAGCAGGCTTTCAACACTTCACGTGACCTCAACGTGCACATAGCCTGGCACAAGCGTCGTGGTGACATCACCGCCACTTAGTGGCGAATGGCGGTTGTTGTTTGGTGAATGAGTGTGAATGAATGTGTGACTAAGTCACTTTGTGTGAGTTAATGTGTGTGTGTGTTAATGTGTGTGTGAGTGTGTGGGTGAGTGTGTGAGTGGGTGAATGTGTGAGTGTGAGTAAATGAGTGAGATGAGTGTGTGAGTGTGATTGAGTATGTGAATGTGTGAGTGTCTCTGGCCAAGTGAGTGAGTATGTGAGTGTGTGGGCGAGTGAGCGTGTGAGTGAGTGTTTGAGTGAGTGTGTGAGTGAGTATGTGAGTGTGTGAGTGAGCGTGTGTATAGCATGTGGGGAGCCTTTGTGTCTGTATTAATAGATACACACTTAGAGTTAGACTCACGTAGACTCTGCAAAGACAAAGATCTCCCTATAGCCTGTAACAGACTGTAGGGGCAAGTGCTGCTAGCGAGCAGTGCCTATGAGGGCCGCCACTGTGGCACACGAGGGGGTGGGTGCCCAGCACCAACACGCCCGACCGCCTTTTTCTCCCCAGTGGCGATGTTCACTACACACTGCACCAGGTTCTCATTTGAGGCTGAGTCGACCTAGGGGAGGCCCTGGACTGGTTCAGATAATCGTCACACACACACTCTCACTCTCACACACTCAGTTTCACTCACACACACTCACACTCTCAAACACACACTCAGACAAACACTCTTACACACACTCACTCACTCTCACACACTCAGACAAACACCGACTCACAAAAAATATCCCCCGTATAGCCTTAGACTGTTAGGGCAAGTGCTGTTAGCGAGTAGCAGCACCAATGAAGGCCGGCACTGTGGCACACGAGGGAGTGGGTGGGCAGCACCACGCCCGGCCGCCTTTGTCTCCCCATTGGCGATGTTTTTACACACCGCACAAGGTACTCGTTTGAGGCTGAGTCGACCTAGGGGAGGCACAGGATCGGTTCACATTATCGTCACTGGTGGTGTTAGCCGTGAGCGAGGATTGAACTCGGGTTACCGGGTTCGTAGCACAGCGCAATGCTAACGGCCACACTGCTGCAGGGAGCGACGTGTAGAGGGCTCCTTGTTTATTCCTCACACTTGACAGGCACAATCACTGAGCGACGTATACACACTGGGCTACGCATGGCTGACCCACTCATACGGCCCCATCGCTGGCGTCTAAACTACACAGCTGGCTGACTGATACAGCGACGATGACGATGGGAGACGTACAGCAGATCGGCCATGCGGCCGGGCGATGAAGAAGAGATGGCGGCGAAGACAGTGACGGCAGCCAGGACTCAGACCCCCACCACAGCCCCGAACCTCCGGTCACGTCCCGCTTATATGAACCTTATGGCGGTACCCCGGGGTACCATAGTACCTCGGCTCTCGAATAATGTCCGTGATGCAGTCATTTTTAGTCTTCAAATTTTTTTTAATCTTTCGGTAAAGTCACGTAGATAGGAAACAACAACAACATAAAAACCCCCAAAACTCACTTTAAAAATCATTTTTAGTCTGTTGATGGTCGGTGATGCGGGAATCGACTTATCTCGACGAGCTGTACACGAAGCACTACAGTGCGTACCGCGAGCGTTCAGGGTTTCGGCGCAATCGTCCTCGCTGCGTTTCAACATCATGGAGGAGCACTGATTTCAGATTGATGGGTAGTTAAGTTACACCCCTGGAAAAAATAGTGTCCCAGAAATAAAATATTTATTTGTCTCGGCCATTTGGTATTATTTGGTACCCCGGGATCATATACTCCTCGTCATGGCCAAGCCCCGCCTCCAGCCACGCCCCCTTCTAGAACCTTCGAGCAGGTTTCCTCTTATGAGCTTCCCGACTGATCCCCGCCTCTGACCTTTAGTGCAGTTACGCCCCCCGTTATGGTTGGATGTTACATAACGCACCCATACCCGTAATTATCTCTCCTGGTCAACCGATGGCACCCTCTTCTTTGGTTCTTTCGGTAAAGTCATGTAGAATGAGAATAAAATAATGAAATAAAATAAGACAATAAAATTCTAACGACGTTTCGGCCGCAACACAAGTAGCCTTCAGGTGAAAGAACAGAACTGTCGGAACGACAGAGCTTCAATTAACGCTGCTAAGATTCGCAGTGTCTTTTAAGCTCGGTGAGAGGCGTGAAGCGCCTTGACAAAGGAGTTTACATATCAGAGCAGGAGAATTTAGCATTGAAATAGCAGAGGAATTAGCTTGTGACAGAAATAGCTGTGTTAAAGTCAAAGTTTACATATCAACAGAGGCATTTAGTATATGGACGATAAAGGCCTCCAACTAACCAAATATCATAAAGTAAACCGATGTGAAAAAACTAAGTCCATTTCACATCAATATAATAAATGTACTTAATATATTCTTCAATAAGCTGAGCTATTAATCATACAGTAACTGGTTATACATTACACTAAATAATGAATACCATATAGTAAACCAATAAAAAACTAAAATATAAGCTCCTCAATGTTATCAATAAACTCTATATACTCTCCAATCAGCTGAGCAACTAACAATACGTCGTTATATATCAATGTTATATGGTGAAAAGTGGCGGTTTTTTCTTCCCCTCAACACCAGCACCACGGACAGCTACATTCAGGCAGACGAGTCATTCCATGCTCGGAAGGGAGGAGGGGGTGAGAGAAACAGTCACAATGCCAGCGAAAGAGCTGCGGTCTGACGGTCACCGTAAAATACAATTAATTTAGAACCGAAATGGTTTAAAACATCTTTCCAATGGTTGCTAAACCAGAATCCATCTTCTCGCATGAAATTGTCTCTGTGCTTGTATATGTGGATGGCCTCATGAACGAATCTCTCATGGTAGCCGGTTGGCTGGCAAAGAACCTCCATCTTGGAGAAGTCAATGTCATGTGAACCCACTGAATTATTACAGTGATCTGCCACGGCAGAAGAGTTCGTCCTACCATGTTTCAAGTCTACTTTATGTTCGCGGATGCGGTCTGAGATATGTCGTTTGGTTTCCCCAATGTAGTTGCTACCACAGAGGCACTTTAGTTTGTAAACATCCGGGTACTGTATGTCTGGAACAGCATCTTTTAAAGATGGAACCATATCACGGATTTTATGTACTGTGTTGAATCGGACCTGGATCTTGCGTTTATTCAGGATTTTGGAGATTTTTTTAGTGACCCCTGCAATGTAGGGTAAGGTGATGGTTTTGAGTGGCTCCTCAAGAGGATCCTTCTTCATGACTGGAGTGATGGCTTTGCGGATTGGGTAGTTGGAGTAACCATTAGCCCTGAGAGCCTGGTGTACGTGTTTGAATTCACTGGCAATGTGTTCCTGGTCGAAAATGCATTGGGCTCTATGGTATAGAGTCTTCATGAGGGAGTTCTTCTGAGATGGATGGGGGTGGGAATCCGGTTTCAAGTAAGCATCTGTATGGGTAGCTTTTCTATAGACAGAGTGGCTCATTGAACCATCAAGTTTCCTTTTAATTAAGACATCCAAAAAGGGTAGCTTGCCATCTTTTTTGACCTCCATGATAAATCTGATGGATGGGTGCATGGAATTGATGTGGTCAAGAAATTGGTCTAGAGCAGGCTGGCCATGTGGCCAGATGACAAAAGTGTCATCCACGTACCTCTTCCATAAGGTTGGGCGTAGAGTGGCAGTCTGGATGGCCTCAGTCTCAAATTTCTCCATGGAAATCTTGGCTACAACCGGAGACAAGGGAGAGCCCATTGGGGTGCCCTCAGTCTGTTTGTAGAAAGTTCCATTCCAGGTGAATTATGTGTTGGTTAAGCAATGTCTCACCAGAGGGGGTACATCAGTATGCAGTCCTTGATGAACCAAGTCTTCAATGATTGCGATGGTGTCAGGTCCCGGAACTTTGGTGAATAAGGACACCACATCAAAACTGACAAGCAGGTCGTCTGGAGACAGAGCAATGCCTTTGATTGTCGATACCAGGTGAGCAGAATTTAGTACCGCAGAGGTGGTTTTTGCAGTAA